CCCTTTTTTTGGCAGCATCTTTCCATTTACTAATTGTTCACCAGCAAGTTTCATGTGAATAGGAAGCCTGAAAATAATTCTCATGAGTATTCAATTTGAACATCTGGTATCATCATGAACGTAACTGGTATAATGAGCTTCTCTGCATTGAACATAGCCTGCATGGTGAGGAAAGGACTTTGAAGCAACTGCACCTGAATAAAGCAGGTTTTGTAAAAGAGTAAATCTCCCTCCCAGTGTGCAGGCCCTGACTCCTGCTAACATTAATGACAATAACCCCTCCTCATATAGGATAATTAGTGCCCTTAGAGTTTAAATTTGCAGGTACTAAGACATTCAAATGAAGTGTGCCTAACAGTCGAAAAAAAATGTGGAAATTGCTTCATTGTTTGGTTACATTATGTCTGAAGGGGGAAAGAAAAAACTGTTCATGGCTAGGTTAGATTGTAATTGCCCCAAATTATTTATTTTATACCATTCTAATTCTGTTTTCAGAGTTTATTCAGGCTAGTTAGCTAGCTGCTTTCAAGCTTTAACCAATATTTTTTTTAAAAAAAGCCAAGTGGCATAGTCAATTTTTGTGGAAACATGGAAGAACAATGGAAGAGGCATTTACTAAAGAATGCAGTATAGGAATAATGTTGCTTTTGTCTGCTAATATCAGATATATTTCTATGCACCCATCATTGATATCTGAGTGCTATTTATGTTGGTGCTCAGATATTTACTGACTGTCCATAAAGAAAAAGAAGTGTCCTCTAGGAACTCAGGGCAATGGATCAAAACCACTTTGCTATCAGAGGACTCAGGAGCCTGGCATTGTTGTAAAGTGGGCTGAGAAGGTGCCTCAAAGCATGACCAAGCTGTACCTTAGTCTTACTCTTCCAGGAAGCTTCTTGGAGATACCATCAAAGAGTCGTTTTCCCAAATGCCTTTGAACTGCACACAGAGCATGTGTAGCTAAGACTTGTTCTCAGAGCTCAGTTTGTATGGTAGGGTTTGCAAAAGTCAAGGGTGACACAAGTGGATCGGTACCTGGACAGTTATAGGTAATAATGGCCTCAACTCATTTTGCCAGGAGCTGAGAGCTAGTGGAGAATACAGAGAGGGTCAGCTTTGACAGTTTGCAGTGAAGACATAGGATAAAGTTTCTCTGGCTGCTCAGTATGTGTCCCCACTTCAGAGGCCATCCAGCTTTCCACCTGTAATGAGGGCTGTATCTTACTTCCCACCACCTTGCAGACCTTATGCAAACCTGACCTTCCCACCCACCTCAAGGTGTAGGTCACTCACTGGCATCACCTCACACATTCCCTCACCGAGTGACCACAATGGGATCCTCAGACTGTAGCAAAGAATTTAATTTCTTGTGGGCTGGAACACTTAGTAGAGCTTTATAGGGTAAAAATGAACAAGTCCTCAGTGTTCCCACTGTGTTGGGTTTTTGTGTGTGTGTCAGGGTGGAGGGGGGTGGTTTTGGTAGTGTGGGAAGGGGCCACTTTGTGAGAGCAAAAAGCTCCTCTTGCTCCAAAGTGGAGACCCTCCCAGCCTAGGCTGAGCCAATTAGCACTAGAGAAACACCTCTGCAAATCCATATTTGTGAGGGGAAGGACTGTCTTGAAGAGAAGAAGGTGGAGATAACCTGTAGGAGAGGCCGTTGACCTGAACAAGACAGCCATCGGCCTAAACAAAGGGAGAAGTTCGTTGCCAGGAGGAAGGAGGAGGAGAGGGAGGACAGAGAACCTCAGACACCCAGTTCAACCACCTGGAGTAGGAGAAGGCAAAGGAGGTCCCTGCAGCCCATCGAGGTTCAACAGTGGAGTAGATACCCATGTGTGGTCTATGGAGGACTATGCTGGAGTGGAAAAGCTGAGCCTGAGGGCAAGTGTGACTGAGTTGAGACCCCAAGAGTCACTCGATGTCGGAGCGGGGGTGAGGATGGGCGCTGGACCCAAGGTCCATCTTCAGCCTGTGGATGTCCCCATGCCGGAGCCAGGAGCTGAGCCTGAACTGGTCCATAACTCCATGGGAAGCTCACGTTGGAACATCTTGTTCCTGAACTTCCATGCGGGGAAGACCGGCAGAGGTGACCTGACTGCAACCCCCATTCCCTGCCCCCTGTGCCACTGGGGAGGCGGGGCGGGTAGAGAAATTGAGAGCAAAGTGATTTGAGCCCAGGAAGAAGGGAGGGGTGGGGGAAGGTGTTTTAAGATGTGGTTGTTATGTCTC